GGCGGTGTCTCACCGTCACAGCCCAGGCCCTGGCGGCCCAGGCCCAGCATCAGCGAGGTGCAGCGCAGACACTTGGTGGGTGACGGGAAAGTCCGGGGGCGCAGCATGTGTGAGCCAGGCTTGGGGGGAACATGGCCGTTATTCACGTCAGACCTCAGCCTCTCAGGGCCCTGCACCCCACTCCTGAGGCAACCCTGAAGTGCCAGCCAGGACCAGGGATTGAGCCAGCTGGCAGCGTGAGCTCTGAGCCCCAGTGAGTGTGTGGCAGGCCTCAAACCCATCGCCACCGCCACCCACGACGTGGTCTGCGGGCCCTGGTGCAGGTGGAGGAACCAAGAGGGGCCCTGGAAACCCAGCAGAACGGCATGGTGCCCCCACCCCGCTCCTCCCTCTAGGCACTGACCTTTGCAGGAGGACCTTCTGCAGGGGCTGTGGTAGCAGCAGGCCCTCTGGGGAACACAGCCTGCGGGGGAGGGCGAGCAAACAGGTGAGAAACGCACGGGCACAGGGCCCCCCAAATGCAGGTTCCCACCGTCCTTACCCCCAGGCGCAGGCTGCGTCGGCCCTCTGGCCTCAGCTCTGGCTCCACCCCGGGTCTTGGGGCCTCTCCTGAGATGCCAGGGTCCTTGGCAGAATCCTTCTGGGGCTTGGGGGCAAAATCAAGGCCTCTGTGCCCGTCCCCAGGACCCTCCCCAACCAGCCCCTGTACCGGGTTCTTACCTCTGAGCTCCGGAAAGGCAGGAAGGGAATCAGGGAGTTTGAGGACTTGGTGTCTGAAAACAGAGGGTGTGGGTCATTGGGGTTGGGGTCCCTGGCCCAGCCCTGACACTTATTCCTGAGGAGCCATGGGCCAGTGGGGGCCTCAGTTTCCACCTCAGTGAAGTGGGGCAATGACTGCAAGCTGTGATGGCAGGACCTGGCATACAGTAGGTGCTCAGTACGTGCTAGCTAACGGGTGGTGGGGTAAGCAACCGTCTGGAACAAATTCTTGTCTCCACGCCCTGCCAGGCTGTGTGGGACCCCTTGGTAACGGAGGCTGCAGTGGGGGCATGCAGGACAGCCATGCGGACGGCCACTCACCACCTGACCCGCGGGTCCGCAGCTCCTCCCGCAGAGCAGCCAGCTCCTGCTGCAGGCCCCGGTTCTGCTTCTCGGCCTCCTGCAGATGGCTGGGGAGAACCGGTGAGAGCTCACCACCCACCCCTGCATGGTCCTGGTGCCCTCTGCAGCACCTGCCCTGGGCTCACCTCTCGGCCTGCAGCTGGGCCTCCTGCACCTGTGTCAGCTGCTCCTGCAAGCTCTGCCTGGCCCGGATCTCGGCATCCAAGGCCAACTGCAGCTCCAGCCTGGCCGAGGCCTCCATCTTCTGCAGCCGCCTTGCCTTCCACTGGTGGTCCTGGTGGCCAGAGGGCACCCATGTAAGATGCCCCCTGGGACTGGCTGCCTCAGAGGCCCCTCCCGCCAGAGCACACCACTACCACTGCCCATGCCACCGGATCAGGCGCACAGCCCCAGCTCTGCCAATAACACTGTGGGCTGAAGCAAGTCACTGCTCTTCCATGAGCTGTGTCCTCACCTCCAGAGTGAGGCACCCCCTCCCCACTGGGTATCTCTGGGGCTCACCAGCGGCCGGGCAGGGAGTGTCTGGGTGCCCACGTTCCTCAAGGACTCCAGCTCCTCTGCCATCTTGGTGGCCAGGGCCTGCAGGTAGCCTCTTGAGACCTTCTCATCATTCACCCTGATTGGAAAGGGGGCTCAGGGTCATGGCTGAGGCCTCAGCTCCGCCTGGGCCCAGCCTCCAGCCTCCAGCCCATGGCACCCACCAGCTGAGGATGTCGGCGATCTGGGCCTCCCAGTTGCCCTCTGTCTCCCGCCGCTCGCCCTCCAGCCGCTGCCGGCTCTGCTGCTCCCGCTCCAGCTCTTCCACAAGCTGGGGGCCAGGTGGGAGGTGGGGTCAGTCCCCAGGGCCCGAGCAGCGGAGCCCTGCCTATGCCCGCCCTTGCTCACCCCCTACAGCTTGCCTGCCTGCTACGGGCACTGCCCTAGGGAGACAGCCAGCCCTGGGCCCTGGCTGCTCTGCCCACCTCTCCTGCTGTGCCCCTGCCAGGTCCCTCTGCCTGGCTGTCTTGCCCTCTGTCTACCCTACTGACCCGCTCCTGCTCGCGGCTCAGCCGCCGGTTCTCTTCCTGCAGCCGGCAGAGGGCCTCCTCCTTTCCACTGGGCCTGGAGGAGAGGATGCCTCGGTTACTTCCACGTTAGGCCCTGGTCCTGCCCCCCACCCCCAGCTGCCCAGCTCACCCGTGGCCGCGGGCCTGCTCCAGCTGCACACGCAGGGCGGCCACCTCCTTCCTCAGCTGAGCCTCCTGAGGCCCGCCCTCAGGCGATCCCGTGCCGTTGGTCTCAGAGGCAGCGTGGACGGTCTGAGGACACGGAGAGCGGTCAGCGCAGGGGCCTGAGAAGCCATGGCCCACTCTACCGCTGGGACACAGGCCTGGACCCGAGGGCCCTGAGTCGGGTCAGGCAGAGGGAAGTGCCCCTTAGGGGGTTGGGGGTTAGAACTCAGTACCTTGACCCGGGGAGATTCTTTCTCAAGGCTTCGCTCCCGCTGTCTCTGAAGCTGTGTCACCTCCCGGCTCAGGGTGGCCACCTGGGCCTGCAGCTGTGATGGGGTGCAGAGGCCGCCAGTGCTGACCTGCCCACCCACGCCTCTTCCTGGCCTTGCTGCAGACTCTCGGGCTTTGCCGGCCATAGCAGGAGTGAGGCAGGGAGCCCCCGCCCGCGCACCCTAACCATCACCCCCTGCTCAGACCTCTGCCGGCCACAGTGGGGAGCGCAAAGGCACCGGGTGTTCCCAGGACCTTGACCCAAGCTCCCTGGGCCTCCTCCAGCCACGCCAGCGGTCACTTACGTCCCTCCGGGCAGCCTGGACCTCCTCTAGCTGGGAGCTCAGGGCCTGGGTCTGGCTGGCTGAGGCCGCCGCTCTCTCCTGGGTCTCCTGCAGCCTTTGGAGCAGCTCCTCCCGCCCGCCCTGGGCTCTGCTCAGCTCCTTCTCCTGTGCCCGCAGCCCTTCCCGGGCCTCGGCCAGCTCCTGGGGAATCGGGAGGACAAGCCTGGAGTCAGGGCAACGGCCTCCTACCATCGAGCCCTGGGCCACTCACCCAGCTCACCAGGCGCTCACCTGCAGGAGCCGGTCTCTCTCCTGCTGCAGGTCACTGTCACTACCAGCGGGGGGCCCATCCGTCTGCGACAAGGGGGCCTTGCTGTCCCTCAGCGACTCTGCCAGGAATTGTCACTGAGACCCGCACCTACTGACTGCCCAGCCTCAGCCAGGCACCTCCTGCAGTGTCCCGTGGAGCCGTGGCCGCAGCCTGGGAGGGGGGTCTCCTCGGCCCATTTCCCATGTGCAGGCTCAGAGTTTAAGATAACTCCCTGAGCTCACGCAGCATGTACAGAGCAGGGGCAGGACCGGAACCCAGGGGGACTCAGGTGTGCTGGGGAAGCAGGTCAGCCCCAAGGTGAGGGCAGGGGGCAGAGAAGGGGCGGCGGGTGAGTAGGATACCTGACAGCCTGTCCCGTAGGGTCTGGACTTCCTTCCGCAGCTGCTCCAGCTCCCGGTGGTCAGAGGGGACCTGCAGGGCCTCTGCCGTGGGGAGAGCCACAGGTGAGCAGCTAGTCTGCGGCAGGAGCCCGGTCAGACCCGCAGCCCTGGCCCCGCCGGCTCCCGGTACCTTGGAGCTTCCGGCTCAGCTCCGTCTTCTCCTGCTCTAGACAGCGGAGCTTCCGCTCCAGGGCAGCCAGCTGCTCGGAGCTGTTCTCGGGGCCGGGACTGGGGAGAGCAGGGCAACACAGGTCAGCAGAGACCCCACCCACCAAAACCGCCTCCCTTCTCCCGCATCCAATCATCCATTCACCCAAGAAACACCCACTGTGTGCCAGGTCTGTACCCAACCCTCAGCTCTGTGCCAGGAAGAGAAACAAATCCGACCAGACCCTGCCCTTGGGAGTCCCCAGGCTGGTACCATGGGCAGCAGCCCAGGGCAGTGGCTCCCAGATCCCCCAGGTCCAGGCTCGAGCCCCTACAAACTATGTGACCATGAACAGTCATCTAACATATCCGAGCCTCAGTTTCCTCTCAGGAAAATGGAGGTGATAACAGGGTTTCTTCCAAGGATTGTCAAGAGGACTCGGTGACATGGGTCCCGTGGGCCCCACGCCTGGGGAACGAACAGTGGGCACCCATGTGTGCGGCACCCAGTGGGCGCTCCACGCGTGTGGGTCAGATGCATGGCTTACACCTGCAGTGCCTCTTCAGGACCTCACTATGGTCTCAGGCCAGCCCCACGCATGGAACTGGATCATCCTGCCCATTTCACAGAGGCACAAGGTGAGGCTGGGGCAGCAGGACGGGCCCTTCCCATGCGAGGCCTCTGGCTCCCAGTCCAGTGTACTTCTGGTCTGCCATGGGGGAACTGTGAGGGCCAAATGCTGGGGCGGGACCCGGAGGGGGCCTGGGCATGGAATCACGGGACCCTGAGGACACGGGGGCCTGTCTTCCTGCGGCTCAGAGCACACATCCTCAGCACCTGTCCGCTGCAGGCACCAGACCCGACAGGCCACCCTCCCAGTGTCCTCCACGCCAGGCAGCCCCCAGCTTCCCACCAGGTGTGTGAGGACCAGACTCACCTGCCCGAGGTGTAGGTGAAGCCCACGAATGGGAGGTGGTGGCCTGAGAAGGCCCCATGGGAGGGTGGTGGCAGGGTCCCCTGCAGAAGGAGGGGAAGAGTTAGAGTCTCCGGGCACAGCTCCAGGCCGAGGCCTCAGATCCAGGAGACGCCTGGGGACTGGGAGTGCCGCCCTCCTCCTGCGCAGGTGGGAACATGGCCCCACCTAAACAGACCACACTTCCCATGAGTCCTTGAGGCTATGGCCTCCCAGACACCACTGGGAGTCTTCTTCCTTATACAACTTCTGGTTAATAGAATGACACGAGGTAAAGGACCCTCACTTGGCACAACCCACCTCAAGGCAGGTGAACTGTAACTCCCAAGAGCCTCTGGGGTCTGAAGGCCTCAGGCCCAGCCCAGCAATTGCTTTGGGAAACTTGTAGGGGTGTCCCACAGCCAGGGAGGGTCCTCCTGCAGTGGGAGCCACCACTCACCGGATGGTTGAGGGTGTCATCGTCCACATCGAAGTTGGAGGTGTCCACAGGCCCGCGAAGCTCAGGGATGTAGGGGGCAGTGCTGCTCGCCAGCCGCTCCCAGTCCACACCTTCGAAGAAGGGATGGTTCCGGAAGTCGTCCAGCCCTCCTCGGCCCAGACGCTCCTCCTGGCGGCACAGCAGCCGGCGGATCAGGTCCTGGGCACTGGCCGGCACATCCGGCACATCCGAGGGGAACTGCAGGTGGTCCTGCAGGCCGGGGGAGAGGTGCGGGTGGGTATCCGGAATCCCACCCCCACCTACAGGCACCACCAACCTCGTGGACTCGGGAGTCCCGCTGCCCTCCCAGAACCCCGGAGCCTGGCAGCCAGACCTCATGGTTCATGATCTTGGCGTAGGTTTCCACCAGGGATTCAGCATAGAAGGGCGTTTCCCCGAAGAGTAGCTCGTAGGCGCAGACCCCCAGTGACCACCAGTCACACTGTGGGCCATAGTGGCCCTTGCCCTCCTCCATGGCCTGCAGGATCTCAGGGGAGATGTAGTCGGGAGTCCCCACTGCCACTGACGAGTCCACCTGTGGGCGGTGGTGTTGATGAGGACACGAGGACAGCCCCTGGCTTGGCTGGGCCTGCTGGCCGCTCACCAAGGGTCAGGGCCTGGCACCCCCACTCCCTAGGGGTTGGCTGGCCTGGTGCTCCCACCGGGGCCCTGGGCCTAGTCCTTCCTTCCCCTGGGAGCCTGGTGCCCCCTGCACTGGGCCTGGTGCCTCCCAGGCCTTGGGAGTGTTTCCAGCCACATGCCCCCTGCCCACCCCGGGCGGGGTCCTTACCATCCCACTGTTGTTGAGACGGAGGCAGGAGCCAAAGTCGGCCAGGCGGATGTGCCCGTTCATGTCCAGGAGGATGTTGTCCGGCTTGACATCCCTGGGGGAGGCAGGGACAGTGAGGGGCCTGACCTGTGTGTGTGGTTGGGTGTGTGCGCGGGCACGTGTGTGTATGCTCACACATGCTCCTGCATGCAGGCAGGTGGGATGGGTGAAGGCTGGTGGCCCGGCCTCCTAGCCCCCAGGAAGGAGGAAGGTGGCTAGTCTGGGGAAAGGGATCCGTGGGGACGACCCTCAGGGGCAGCAGAGTATACTGTGGGGGACACAGGAGCAAACCACAGCTTGGCCACCCGCCAGCTGAGTCACCTGGAACCAGGCAGACGCTCACCTGTGCTAAGCCCTGACTTGCTCATTGATCAGATGGAACAATGAGCAGCGCCATCACATAAAGCTTTTGGTGCAAGTGTTCACAGGCATCAAGCAGGGGAAGCACCCAGCACAGGGCTCGGCACCTGGTGAGCGCTCAGCAAACGGCAGCTGTCCCCAGGGTTGTCAGCGGGGACTGGAGAGGGCACGGGGCTTTGCGGGCCCCACCTGTGGACGTAACCCAGCTGGTGCAGAGAGTGGATGGCCAGCACCATCTCAGCCAGGTAGAACTGGGCCAGGTCGGGCGGGAGGCGGTCCTCAAAGCGGCTCAGCAGAGTGAGGAGGTCCCCACCGGCGTAGTAGTCCATCACCAGGTACTGGATGGTGGTGGGGAGGGCAGGAATCAGATGGGAAAAGGGACCCCTGCCCCAGGACCCCACCTCCCAGTGGCCCCGTGGGAGGCAGGGCTATGGCTCCCACCAGCTCTGGGGCGGCCAGCTCCCAGTCAGGACTCAGGCGGAGGGTCCAGGCCCTGGAGCTGGTTGGGAGGGTAAGCCTGCTGGTCCCAGTAGGAGGGACCTCTCTCCCCTTGGGCCCAGTGCCTCTGGACCCCAAGGGCCTTCTCCTTTGTCCCCAGGCAACCCCCTCCGACCTGGCCCGGGATCCTCACCAGGTACTCCTCGTCTTGGAAGGCATAATGCAGAGCTGTCACCCACCGGCTGTCCCCCTTCACCAGAACGTCCCGCTCCTCCCGGAAACAGGCTGTCTGTAGCAGGTTTGGGGGCGGGATGGGGTGGGATCAGAGTCCGGGAAAGCCCCAGGCCAGCTCAGGGGATGGA